TTTTTTTTTTAAGATTTTTTTATTTGTGCATACAGACTGGGGTACAGGCCAGAGGTGCAGGGGTGGTGAGAGGATTCACCAGAGACAGTGGGAACCAGAATAGACTGAATGACAAAGTACACTGCTGAGGGGAGCAGCAGGTGGGTCAGGAGAGTTCTGCCCTGCCATGTGGGTCATGGGGGGGGGGCGGGGGACCAACATGCAGAAGTGGCTTTGGCTTCTTAGTGCATGCTTTAACCCCTGCGCCACCAGGGAGGGCCCAAAAGTTATTTCTTAACTTTTCTTTGGTCTCATACTGCAAATCAGTGGCAAGGGCCCCAGGCTCTGTCACCCTCCACACAAAGAGATTCATTCCATGTCAGTCCTTCAGATTCAAGCTTTCTCCAGAAGGCTGAGTCCTAACTTTGTTATAGATTTGCTGTGTGATTCTGGTCAGGTCACTGCATCTCTCTGGACCTCTATCTCCCCACCAGAGTCCATCAGCAAACTTCTTTCTCTGGTGAGGTGCAGAAACACCCCTTTATGTAATCCTTGAAATTCTCCAACCAGCCCCCTCCCAGAAGAAGCAACCAAGAGCCTCAAGGAAGGCCAGGAGGCAGCTTTGGCCAACTCTCACCAGGCTCTGAGCTGCCCACATGGCCCTACCCCCAGCTCCCTATCCTGTGAGTCCATGCTGTGTTCTCACCCTGGTTCAAATTAGAATCACCTAGGGAGATTTAAAATTGCTGATACCTGGGCCCCGCACCCCATATACTTTTAAATGACCTAGGTAATTCTAATTTGTTACAATTTGTTTTGAGAACCTGGATGACATGCATCTCATCCCTGACAGACCTCACTCAGTCCCATAGAAACAAGAACTGAAGCTGCCTCTTGGAGTTGCTTGTCTACATCTGGGTCCAGGGCTCTGACTGACGTTTACTGAGCACTTACCTTGTGTCTCCTATTTCATCTCCTCAACCACAGTATAAGGAAGGGCCTATCAGTAGCTACATTTTACAGATAAGGAAACCTGAGGCTCAGCAAAACTAAAGAGCTTGCTTATAGTCACACAGCTAGTAAACAGTGGTCAAAATTCAAATCCTGGTCGTCTGGTTCAAATCTGTGTCTTGAACTCATGCCCGCTTCTTGAGGGAAAGGAACTAAGGAAAACTGATTTCCCCAGCAACTCTCCTTTTAGCCCCACTGATGCAGTGACGGAGGGCTCCATGTTCTCTGCCACAAACAGCTCCGTTCTTCATCAAACCGCAAACCCCAAGATCCTACCTCCCCACAAGGCTGCCTCAGGTCATACACACCCTGCACATACTCAATCCTCTCTCTCTTTCTTTCTCTCTCTCTCTCTCTCACACACACACACACACCATCTCTCTTGCACACAGACACACAACCCCAGGAGCTCTATGTTGCCTCCTTCACCCAAAACCCAGACCTGCTGGAGTAATCCCTTCTTCACCCAAGTCTGACCCTGCCTCACCTGCACACACAGAACTCCATTGTCCACAAGGAAAATTGGAGCCCTGGTTCTGGCCTTCAAGGTCAACTGCAAGAATAACTTCCTCTCTGCTATGCCCACTGCCTGCCTTCTGGGCACACTCCTCACACCCACCCATCTCAGAAGCAGCACATCTCCTGCTCCTCTGGACTTGGCCAGGTGCTCGCCTGCCTACTTCGCTGTGGGTCAGCTCCAAGGGAGAGGACTCTTCTGTTAGACTCCAGGACCTAGAACAAAGCTTGACCCACAGGAACTGCTCTCAAAGACATCTGTTGACTACAGGAATCAATGAGGCGACCTTGCTCCCAGCCTGGTCTGCGCCTTACATGGACTTGGGATTGTATTTGTTCCCCTGTGTGCCTCCCCCACCAGGGAGGAGACACTCTCTGGGGAGACTGGGCTGATTCAGCTTTGTGTCCACATCTAGCACAGGACACCGTGCAGAGAGCAGGAGTGAAGTGCACTCAGCACAGAGCCCAGGCTTGAAGACCTCTTCAATGAGGACCAGGAAGGTGGGCCACTGGGCAGTCACACAAAGCCTGCCTTCCCCAGGGAAGAGGCCTCCATCTCTTTCCACCAAATAAGCTCCTTTCTGAAGTCACCAAGATCTGGCTCCTGTTTGCACCACCCCACCCCCAAAGGGAGCTCACTTTCTTTTAAGTCAACCTTCCTCATGTGGGATGGCTCTGCCTAACACTGTCAAATCCGGATCATCCTGAGCCAGGATTCCCATGGAAACCAGGAAGAAGGGCAAGAGGAGAGGCCTGCCCCAGCTTTCTCGGGGGCTCTACCTGCTCTTCCAGCTTCGGGACCTGAGTTGAGCCCTGGACCGGGAGCAGACCCACATGGTGCAGCAGACCTCTCCTGTCTTGTCTGCCGCTCTTCTCAGCAGTGTGTATCAGTCAATCTGCCTGTTCTGCTCCCTACTCTACACATA